CCCTACCTTATGTGTTCTCTTTCGATAAGGGGGTTCTTCCTGCGACATCAAAGCGCAACACCACTCGGATGTTCATGCCAGACAAGCCTCATCGGTACGGCTCTAAAATGTTTATAGCATGTGATACGATGACTACGTATTGCCATCGGTGAGCTATGTTTTATTTAAAAGTTCATGACGTAAGTTAGGCCTTTGAATCTCATCTCGCTTTGCTTTGTCGTAACTTTGTAGGTTCGAGATATACGTTGGCAAGGTGCAAGCTCGGGAAATGAGGTTGACGCATTCGACCATAAGACTGGAGCTAAAGCAGTGATTCGCAATCTCAAGGTTGTACTTGCCCATGGCCGCCAGAAAGATCACGCAGTCGCGGTTGATCGATTCTATACTTCTATCCTCCTCACGATCGAGTTGCTCTCTACGAGTGTGTACGTAGTGGGGACTATCATGACTGACCGGCTTGGATATGACCGTAATGTCGTAGATGAACGCAAGACGCGCCCAAGACACATTCCACGAGGCTCCTTTACATTCTCGCGATCGGTGACTGTGCCAGGCATGTTGGCGTTCCACTGGTGGGACCGTAAACCGATCCACTATCTGTGTACTGGTTCCGTGATGGCTGCGTCGATGATACGTCGCAATGTGAAGGGCACAGGACCGATAATGGTGCCGTTTCCAATGGCTGTGAATGATTACCAAGCCTGTATGGGCCGAGTGGACGTACATGACCAACTCCGCCTCCAGACATTTTCGATCCAGACGTCGGTTCGGTTTGCGAAGTACTACAAAAGCCTTTTTCTAGGTCCTATCGATATCGTCATGGGGAACGCGTATATTTCCCACAAAGAGGCATGCAAACTCTCGAACACGCCAGCAATGAAGCGTGAAGAATGGTACAATGTACTACACAAACAACTACTCCAACTGAAGGAGCACAATTTTGCGGGAGTGTCGTCGACTCCTTCGCCCGGAAGTCGGAACCGCAGACGTAAACGCATTGGGCACTCTCTCATTCAGTTCGACGACTGGGTGACCGTCTCGGGATTCAGAAACGCCGGCAACGGTCCTGCAAAGTGTTTGCTTTACTTCGCGGCGAGCGGAAGAAGTCGTTCCAAACAACATTTTACTGTGATAAATGCTCCATTGACGAGGCGAAGTGCTACCTGTGTCCAAAAGCAAGACGCGAGTACAGTGGTGAGCTGAAAACTTGTTTTCAGATATGGCACAAAAATTTCGAGCGTGACCTCACCATTCCGTCCATGCTGGGCAAGCGTGTTGTTCTCCGGCGCCCTGGAAAGAAGACAGGTGTGCGGAAGAAGACACGAAGGGAGCTTCTGCGCGAATAGAAATGCTAAGCCGACGACGAGCTGCGTCGAGGTAGTGATGGACGTAGCGACGCCGACACTGAGTTTGATCTGTAGAAATGCGATGGTCAGTCTTATGTGTTGTTATAAAACATGGTTTCTTGATTCAATGTACCTTTCCACTTGCGATTTCTGCAATGACGGGGCTGCAAGTTCTACTACGTGCGAACTGCCGTTTCCACAATCCAGGAGTTACGACTTTCCTGCAGCCAAAAGAACTACGAAGTCGTAGAACTTACGACGAAGCCAAACTTTGACTTGTGAAAATCTATATACCTTCACCGTTGTGGATAGTCTACTGTACAACCATACAAACGTTGTGATAAAATGTAAGTCGTAAGTTACGACTTTCGCTTAGTGGTTCGAGGGTCCAAATCTTGGGAACCAAGGGGTTAATTAAGTATCGTTACTCGGAGGCACTATTGGCGCTATTACCGACATACATTGAGAAAGAGATTCAATACGAGGATCAGCTAGAACGTCACGACGGGCAGTTTGAACAGACTAAAGAAATGCCAGCGGCGCCTGCGCGAGCAGCAACTACGGCTACGGGTCGGACCAGGGTGGAGACAGGAGCAAACCGCACTCGTTCAACGATGGGAAATCCGCGCAACGACGTCTTCAAGCGTGGGTACGTAGTGGAGCAACGACAACCGCGGATGCAGAACTACGTCGGTGACTACGCTCTTTAGTACCAATTGTGGCACGTGGGAGACTTAAGGCTATCGGTGGCCAGTGATAGAAGTCAGTGGATACGCAAAAACTGACAATCAAAGATCCACAGGGTGTATGTTGCTGAATACGAACAACCTATTGGTGACGGACGCACCGTGGAAGATCCAGAGACGTCAAGAATCAGACAAGCCGTGGTAGATCCTTAGTTTAAAGATGGCGTGCAATGGGGCAAATGTCCTAAATACGGGATATACGGCATGACTGCGGTGATGTGAATGACCGGGCTGGCGACAGTGAAGTGTTCCACCTTGAATCCGGCGAAAATTCCACGTTGGTCTTTGTAAAGGGTGGGTGTACTTTGCTGTCGTCAAACTTGGACCTCCACGCCTTCGGGTCGTCTCTTCTGCTCTGAAACTGGTTTTCTATTCACATGATTCTTGGCCTTACATACCACTCACAGTCGTAGGACATCTAGGTTTGTTGTTCTAGTGTCTTGATAGCTTGGTAGTACTCTTGGTAATCGATATTCTCTGGAACCAGGCTTGGGATGTCTGGAACGAAGCCCGAATTCTCGGGGATGAGGCTCGTTTCAGACTATTGAAGATCAGGATCGTCGGTTTCTAGCTCCAATCGCATTCCATCGTAGTCGTAACATGTCCATACAGTATTCTTGGACACTGGATTATCCACACAATATAGTTCTTGACTTTCTTGGGGGGCCTTGCGGTGCATTAGGTTGTTGCGGCCATTTCTAGTAGTGTCTGGGTATAGAGAGGTGCTATCTGGCGTCTTGAACCAAGGCAATACGGGTTGTCTACAGCGATACGTTCACGCAGACAATTTAAGCTTCTTCTTCGGCAACCTGTGTCCAGGACGGGGACGGTTCCGGACCGAGCACATGTGCGTTCCAGAGAGTACATCACTGAAACACGTGCTTCCGGAACCTAAGGGATCATCCTTGGCTCTCCACACACTCACCATTCACATCAGACTTTCTTTCCACAATTATCGCACCGTCTACTCCACCTCCACCAATCAAGAACTCTGGATTTTCATTGCCGCACTCAAAACTCAGGCTATCCTGAAAACTGGGAAACTGCCTCATCACATAAACTAACTAATAATTGATTTTATTCACCAGCCGCACGACGAACTCGTATGAAACCAGTTACGAATCACTGGAGAAATACCTCAAACCAAACTAAAAGCAGGCATTCTTCTGTTATTTCGAAAAACCTGGGATTCGTGTCGTTCTATGTGGTCAATTTTGTTTTGTGAAAAACATTTCATGGAGAGCAATACCACGACGAACCGGATAGAAACAAACTGAAAGTAAGAGGGCAGTGTTCTTTTGTCCAGTGGGACGGAATTTGCCGCTGGACAGCAAGGCGTCTCATCTCTTCAGAGGGATGTGCCTGAGCTTGGTCGCTAATTATCCGGAACTCATGGTTAGAGGACGAAATTGGAAATGGTTGAGCGTCCATCACCCATTGGCAGACGGATTCGATGAATTTGACATTATCGATGGAGTTAAAGGAAGCGTGAGCCACAAGTTGGGCGGAAACGAGCGTAGGATCTAGTAGAAAGCGATAGAGAAGATTTTGAAGCGGTAGTGGCGAAGGCACTGGAGGTTGCCCCTGAGAATGTGTGGATTGCCTCTCACCCGCGTATCACAAGGCTGAAGGCGCTGTGGGCGGGAGACCGTCGTTGATTTCTATCACGACGGAGGTGCAAATGATTGGTGGGAAAGTCGGACTTTGGCGCTGCTTGATGACGGGAGACCGTCGTTGATTTCTATCACGATGGAGGTGCAAATGATTGGTGGGAAAGTCGGACTTTGGCGCTGCTTGATAGGGCTCAAGAGGCCGTAACGAGGAAGTGGTAAAGAAGCAACAAGGAGGTGGCTCAGCCACTAAAACACGCGTCGTGGAACAGACTTTACAAACTGGCAGATCTCTCTGCTTATAAGCACAAAATCTATTTAGACTCAAGCTACAAAAACTACGCGTGTGGACAGGGGAAAATAGAGGGTTTAAGTATCCAGGGCTGTACTGCGCAAATGAGGGGGAGGAGGCGGTGATGGCTCCCGCGTGGGCAGCAGCCACAGCGCTGAGAATCCATCACATCACCAACAATGTAGCGGAAATTGTGGGTCTCCGCAGGCTGTTGGCGTACGCGTGGGAAAAGAAATGGACCAAATGGCACGTGGTTGGCGATAGTGCTCTGGTGCTGGGCATGACGGAGCAGCGGAGAAGCCCGAAACCAACCAAGTTGATACAGTGATACCGAATTTCACGTCGACTGGCTGACCTGTGCGAAGTAGTGAGTTGAACTCATCATTACCGTAGGCACGACAAGGTGGTAGATTGGCTAGCAAATCTGGCTATGGATCGGGGAAGAAGTTACATGACGTCTACTGAAGAGGGAATGTTAGCTGCTCCGATTGTGGTGGGACTGAAACAGCTCCTATGTTACGGTATAATAATTTGGTTAAATCGACATCGTAGTGGGGAAGGAGAAGACTGCGGACTCGAAGATTACAGAGAAGAGTCGTGACACTGACAAGAATGTATTCGCCTGGTCAGAATGGCTAGTAGAGTTCATCCCAATGGTGGGAAAGTAACACGATATACCTCGCTCTATTACTATTAACATACAGGAAGTATTTGAAAATGTTGCTTGGAGGCAAGGCAAGAATTGACAAACAATCGCTGGCTACTTCAGCACCATATTGGCGATACCAAGCCAGATTGTTTGTGAGGATGGTATACAGCACTCTACGTCTAGGATGTCTAGTATGTTTCCCTAAACTTTGAGTGCTGTTGCCAAAGATTATCTAATCGTGTGTTGGAGACAGTGCAATGTGAATAGGAAAGCTTCGTCAATCGAATGGATGCAACAGCGCTCATGAAAAGCTCAGATGCATCTAAGTGGAAGGTATATTACTTCCACCACGCATATTAATGTCACGATCTGGATTGGACATACACAGGCTTATTCTTCACAAGTAATCACTTGCCATGCTGCCATTTAATGTATATGACAAGAATAAGACACGGGTTGAAGTGATCCCTGGAATGCCAATTCCCTCACAGGTAGAGTACATTCGAGGCTTTGGATATCAAAGATGACTTTGCTGCTGCTACCGACGCATTGATACCTATTGTGGCCATGTTCAAGTTAAAGTTGCTGATGATGTCGTTAAGGTTGCTGTATGAATATGACGAAACAAAAGATTGATACTTTGGTGAGACGGAAAATTATCACCCAAGAAACCAAAACAGGTTGGGTTTCTTTGTGTGCGTCAGCGTGAGCGTGCAAACGAAGTCGTGCTTTATTCTGGTAACAATGTTTGTACCCAAAGCTTTGTTAGAGCTTCTGCTTCAGCTTTATCTGAGAAGCTAAGTTCTAAGTTCAATAAGAGCTGGGAATTTGGAAAAAATATCAAAACTAAGTTTTGCCAGGAGAAAGTTTTTTAACAGGGAAATGTGACGAAGTCGGTGAAACTTTTACGACTTGGCGTATATGGTTTGCCCGGAGGTTTCTTAGAGTTTGATGTCTCAGAACCTTGGGGGCCAGAACTGTGAGATCCGGTTGGGTCACGGAGTTTGGTGTGTGTCCCTTGTATCAATCCTAGAGGATTCGAATAGTTAGACCTTGGACTTTAGTCCCGACTGTTAGTTTGATAGTATGTAGGAGGTTAATGCATTAACGTGTGTCTCGCTCCTCTGAATCCACCACTATGACCGAAGCCAAAGCCCCAGAACACAGATTTGATTAATTAGATAGCCAAATACAATACATTGAGATCCGTATACACAACTATACAGCCACTACTTATTCTTTTAGACCCTCGAGCGGTGGACCTTTCACGCAATGACTGCAGCTAATCTGTTGGAACCGCTTGAAAATGAAGGATCTGCGCAAAGCACGAGTGAAGCCACTCCTACTGAAGAAGAAACTCCCGATCCTACGTAACCAGGGGACGGTTCTTTCAATTCTTCAGTTCGAGATACAGCCCAATTGGCACAAGAACCACCGCCTACAACCAGGTTTCGTATCCCAGTATTTAGTCAGAATATGGTGATGAAGACGACGTGTCCCGTCATTTATCGCCTGAATTGATGACGATATCTACGTGGCAGCTATTATTTGTTATAAATTACGGGACCCCAGGATGCGTTTGGACATAAGGTTGCTACAAACCTGTTGTCAGATCGTAAATGGGGCTGCTGTAGTGCCTTGTCCTTCCGTCGATAGTGAAACTGCACAACAAACTGGCTCGCCTGAAGTTCTGCATGGACCATGTGAAGGCTAACGTGGACGGGGGCTACGAGTTCGACGCAATGCTAGACGTCGTTCACATCGACAAGAAGTGGATCGACATAAAGAAGGTTGGGAAGAAAGTATACGTGCTGACGGGCAAAGAAGGCATGCCTCTTGAAGCGCCACCCGTGCAACTCGTCCAAAGCAAACGCCACATCAAGACGGTGATGTTTTGTGCGCCGTGGCTCGACCCCGTGGGGATTGGGATAGAAAAGTAGGCCTGTGGCCAGTTGTGGAGAGGTACATTACTCAAAGTGCATATGTGAATCGTCATGGAATACATCATGAACTGCAAAGGTGGCCACGACTACAGCCTCAGCCACTTATATAAAGACAAGCTTCTGCGTGCTGGTAGCCTCCCGACCTCGCTGTCATGTGGCGCTGTATCGCTCGCAATTGCGAACACAGCAATGCTGCCAGCGGTCTTGCAGCGCCTCAATTCCGTGTAGCTGACGCTGCACCAAACGCCGATGCACCAAGCCCCCCTTCTGAATGTTGCGATCTCTTCGATCCGTTTTTAAATATGTAGTGTGGCGGAGCAAGAACGCCGGCACCTTCGCTTTACTGTCTCCGCGTCAGTTGGGTTTCGTCTAGTGCCCTCACAAAATTATAATCGCAAAGAAAGAACTGCCTTTTTTTTAAAAAAAACCGTCTAATTCCGAACGGAGGTAGTAATAGATAAATGGATCCCATTGATGTTCAATTATCTTTAGCGATAAACTACCGAATTTAACTAACAAGGTACGAAAAGATACACGCAAATTTATCGAGG